GGGGGGGGGGGGGGGGGGAAGGGAGAAGCCCGTATCGAGTAACACACATCGCGCAACTCCGAAAAATACTCCGGCATTCGAATGTAAAAGTGAAGCGGCAATCCGGTTTTCTCGTTCGGTCCCGTCCTTCGCTGGCAACTGTAGGAGGCAAGGGAGGGATCCCTCGTCCGGGAAGTATGAGAGGACCTTTATGTGCTCGCAGACGGTCGAGGGCCCTTCTGTGCCCTTCCCCTCCTTTCCCTCTGACTGTTCCGGCCAGGCCCTGGCACTCTTCCCTTCATACAACTGCCATCCGACACAAAGCTTCGTTCTCCAAGCGATGTACAAGGTCTCTCGTTCGTTTCCCCGGACACCCGGTGTCCGTCCCTCCTCTCGTCCGTCCTGTGCCACCCTCCTACGTTTGTCTCTCTCGTCGCTTTTTCACGGAACGCACCATCCTCGTTTCGCCGACTCGTTTTTCTTCCTCGGGGCTCCCCCGTCCCGCCGTCTCACCGTCTACGTCTCTTACCTTGCCGCGTATTCTTTTCGCTCGTGTGATCGTCCTGCGCGCGTATATACTGGGTGAAACGTGCGAAACGGAATTTCCTTTACTACGTGCTCTTTGTTTGCCATGAATTCGAATATCTAGAGAATTACTGAAGGCGAGCCGCGAGATCCATACAGCGCTCGGCCGGTTCAATGACGATGAATAATTTCAAGAGAACTTTGAAAGAAATTATGAATTTTTATGACTTAGATATTTTTATGTTAAATAATAATGTTGCTTAAATAGCAACGTAAGGAATTGTGTAATATTTTTGCGACGGTAAATATATCATGTGATTTTTATCAGATTTTAATGGTTTCGTTCAAACATTAATAGTTGTCTTTGTAAATAATCCATAAATTCAATAGTCAATAAATAATTTCAGGAGTATTCTAAAGGAATTATGAATCTATAATGTAGAATAACATCAAGGAACACAAGCTAAATAGAACACAATAGAACACAAGCTAAAAATTAAGAGAGAGTTGTATGTGTGTGTTGATTTTGAGATATATAAATTTTCTATCATGTGTTTTGAAGTCTTTATCAAACTTTAATGTTCTTTTTCAAATTTTTAATAGCTGTCTTTAAAAAGCAATCTATAAACAGCATTTTTCTTTTCACACGTTTCGCCTTGAAATACAATATTATGAAAATGTCATCGTTTTTTCTTTAAAAGTGATTCAACTAAAAAAATTTTCGAATCAAAAATGACGTTTGATATCATGTTAAGAATATATATTCTCTCTTATTTAATTAGTCAGTAATTTTTTGTCAAGTGGAAAAATAGTTTCTCTCTTTTTTGACAAACTTAATCTTTAGTCACATATCACTTTTGAAGTAAGGGAGCGACATATATATGTATACACAAATTCTGGATTACTTTCGGTAGCCATCATGAATAACACGTCGAACACAGGTAGACAATTCTTGCCGGATACGTCAACCATTTTCGAACGATAGAATATTACTCCGCTGAAATAAAATCGAAATTTGGATTATGCAAATACAAACAGGATCCGTATTATGCAAATATAGTCAAGATGTGTGCTATGCAAACTCGTATTATGCAAATGTCCTCGGCGGAACATTTATTTCCACTTTCCTACGGGGCGGGAGCATTCTAACGCTGCGGAGTTTACACATTACAAACTACCAACCATTGCATGGCGATTATTTACCGCGCGTTACAACGAATTAAATTGCAACGTGCGTTCGCGCGTGCATTAACACAGTGTAACCGCCATTATAAAATCGTTCCGCCCAGGGAAGAGAGCCGAAGGGTGAATAGCGCGTAATCGCGCCAACGAATATCATGGACACCCCGTATACACCCTGACGCGCCTCCTACGTCGCTTCGCCCAACACATCGGCAGCAGCGATACATCGAACTCCGCCAGGAACGACGAAGACGACGTTAAACGGCTGCGCGGGAAGCGCGAGCGAGATATCGTGGCGGATCGAGCCGCGTCGGTTGTTGCCGGCTGGCAAGCCTGGGTTTCGCCGACGCCCCCCCCCACGAAAGCCTACGCTCCCCCCTCCACCGCGAGGAGCGTCAGTCGCCCCGCGTCCCTCCGACGAGCCGGAGTCGTTGTGTCGCTCCCCACTCATGTGACCCCGCGCCGCACCTGGCCCATATCCGCCGCACGCGGCTCACGGTAAGCCTGCTGTTCTTCTCCCTCTTCTCGCGTGTTGTACCTAACCTTCTCCCGCTCGTAGAACCGCCGCGTCTCCAACGCACCCCCCCCCGCCCCGCCGCACTGTTCTCTCATGGCGCGCCGCGATTCGTAGCAAAGTTTTCAACGTCGCTTCTTCTATCTCTCTCTCTCCCTCTTTATTTTCATCCATTTCTCTCTTTCTTTCTCTCGTATGGAATTTACACAATTTTTAACCGGATCCATCGCGCGTTGTATCGTTGTTACGCACGTTTCGCGGTTTCGTCACTGCGGAGTTTCCGTCGCAAAGTCCCTACTATACATACCGGGCGTATATTCGGGGAATTTTCTCGCCCCCCACCCATCCACGCTTTTTGCCCGCTCTTTCTTGAAAGTTAACGCTGCTTCATCTTTGTTGTTTCGCGGAGCGCTTTCGCATCTTTTTGTTTATTTTCCTTCTCGCCGCTGTTGTTTATCCTTCCCTCTCTGTCTGTCGTTTACTTCGGGGTTACCCCCCTTCCTCCCTCATTCCTCCCTCCGCCCCCCCCGCCCCGGCAAAACGGACGATCTGTTTTAGCAGTCGGAGTCGCATGAACGGCGTGCAACGTGACGCGGAGGATCGTACAGTCGTCGTTCTCGGTAGACCCTCGTGTGGGAGAACGCCGGAGTGAGAGGGACAGACTGAGTAAGAGAGAGACCGCGGCCGCACGTAGCTTGTAGGGAAAGGCGGAGAGAGGAAGGAGAGCAGTAGCTAGCCGGTGGTGCGTCGTCGTCGTGCGCTTCCTAACCTCCAAAACGGGCTTCTCGCCGACGCGCGTAACGTACGTGACGAACGAAACGAGCGACGCCGCCACCTCGACGCGCGCGTGTGTGTATGTGGCGTGTGCATATGTGTGTGTCCTCGTCTTTCCCGTGACGTCGCCTCCGATTCATAACGAACGCGATCCGCAGTCGTTGTCGCCACCGCCGCCGCCGTCGTCGTAACTTTGCGGCAGTAGGGTGTTTCACGCGTGTGTGTCATCGCGTCTCGTTTCTAACGGCGCGACAGTAGGTTTGCGTCGCGGTTTAAGAGTAGCCGCGTGACGGAAAAATCCGTGAGAGAGATAGAGAGAGAGAGAAAAGAGAGGGAGAGTTTCCCTCGGGGTTTTTTTTTTCTTTTCGAAATTTCGATCCTCGTCGCGTGTGCCGCGCGCGTCTCTTTGTGAGTGACACGAGAGAGAACCACGCGAGTTGCTCTACACCACGGCGTTTACCAGCAAGGTGCACGGATACTCCACGGAATTCGCCTGGACATTCCTTCCATCGTTGCCTGCCACCGCTGCCGCCGCTTGGGAGCCTACCGTGGACACGGTTAGTACATTTGGTCCAATAGCCGAGATCCGGCGTGCCGACACCACGAGGTATATTGCCTCACGACGACGTTCCGCTCCTCGTTGGATCCCGCGGCCTCGCTCGCACACGGGGCACCACGTTGAGCCGAGCGTCGTTCCCGGCAGCGCGAACCCGCGCTGCGCGCGCTCCGAAATCCGCGCGGATTCTCCCCTCCCCCCCCACGCCGTGTGCGTTCGCACGTTGAAATCAGCCGTCGTGCTTCCGAACCTCTCTCTCCCCTGCCGAATGCTACTTGTCTCGCACGTGGTCGCGAATTTCCGTCGACGACGGTGGTGTCTCGGTCTACTCGGCCCACGAGCGATTGTTCCCCCTCGGACGGATATCATCCGTCCACGGTCCCGCGACCTTGGCCCTTTCCTACGACGCTCGCCGGCGGAAAGCCGATTTCCCGCGCTGCTTTCGGAGCGCAGCCCGGCTTGCGCAAACCAGCGGAAATGCGTTTCTGCTGAGGAGAAACAGGTGCCGCCGACTGTGTAGCACACGTGACGGCTTTCTTTCGCGATTTGTTGCGAAAGTTCGCTGTGATTGAGATCTCATCGTGTGGTGTCTACAATAGATATAATAAGCCTTATGCCGTAAGAAATTGACTAATCATAGTCGAATGTGAAGAGAATAAGCAGCTATGATTAATCGTTTCTTATAGCTCGAAGATGTCTTTTCGTACCTGATGCTCGACGCTTATTTTCAATGTCAAAATAGGTTATACATATGTATGACTAGAATTAAGGTTAGATAGTGAAAGTACATGAAAAGGGTGTAGCGTTATGTAGGCATGTAGCGTCGAATCTCGAACCAAGCAAGTCAATCATGTAAATGCAATTTTCCCTTAGGGCGGAAACGTAAAAAGTGAAAATTTGTTGTGTGTGGGAATGCGTTTACATACGTATGTATCCATATATACATACGTATGTACACAACCATTTTCACCGTTTACATTCTCTAGGCGAAAATTACACGATTAACCCCCTGCAGCCGTAATCACATTGACGCTGGTTTTTAGCGTCTTATAAAATGACACCTTGAGGCTCTAAGGTCTTGGCACATAGAAAAACTTAAGACGTAAGACTAAAGGTATGTTTTTACAAACTGCTACAATTGGCCGTTTCAGCGACAAAAAGGATCACGTGATCAAAATTATCACGACTTGATCACTTTTGTCGCTGAAACGGTCAGTTGGAGCAGCTCGTGAAAATGTACTTTTAAAGCTGTTATTACATTCATCCGTTTTTTTGTCGTGCAAGCTTTTTCAGCCTGTTGATTGGCTGCAGAACAAAGACATTCTCGGTAGCTGCAGCTAATTAATGCGCTTGAAAAATTGTCGTTTATTTCACAAAATTCCACAAAAATTTCAAGTTTATTGACAAGATAGGGAGATCCGATAACTTCTCTTTCTTGCAACCAATCAATAGGGTTGAAACGCTCCGCCATATGACAAATGTATTATATTGTTTGCTTCATTCTCCCGTATTTGAAATTTTTGAGAGTTTATCATTTGTTTATTCGTATGTTAATGTAATATTAGCCATAAACAGTAAGGAAATTAATGTGTCACGTAAACTGGTCATTGTTCATGTTATAAACTTACGATTTCAGCTGTGATTGATCGATTTGCTTACTGTTTACGTTTTACAGTTTAATGTGTGCCATGACCCTTATTGTAGACACCTTAAGCGATGAATAATATACTTATTACAGCGTTAATAGAAAAGTGGTATAAATAAAAATTAGCAATTAATTTTCAGTAGAATATTTTAAATTTTTTTTAAATCGAAGTAACACGTTTTATTAATTTGACTAGGATAGTAAATATGCATAACTTTACTTCCTTTCCGTGTTATATTTTTAATCATAACGTATTCTTTAAAGTTATACGTCATTAATTAGAATTTTTTAATTTAAATACTGCAACTTTACTGGCGATATAAATCTTATGTCTTGTCAGATTGTGATTGTGGTTGTCATCTCTCCGGTTTTCGGTCGGAAGAAGAAAGGAATTCAAGATTTTTGAACATCTTCAGCTGACGGAAAGAATTTCTGGATAACCGTTCAAAATGATAACTCTTTTTTTTTAAGCGTGCGTTTACGATTGTGGCAACAGATTTCTAGCAAAGATATTAGTCTTTGACGGTAGGATCAGATCCGATGACTTTTTCTTTTTTAGAGAAAGCGCTACAAGAAGGTAATAATTTCGTCAATTTCAGCGGAATACTGCGACCTTTAAAAGAGAATCGTCAATCTCTAGATCTCCAACAAAGGTCCAAAGGTGACAACTGTGTTGCATTGTGTGATGGATACAAAAATGAGGGGGGTTCTAAATCTATTTTGCGGGTAAGGCCTAATTTCACAATTTATGATTGGACTCTTAACCAAACTTATCCCTTATCTTTTTCTGAATTCAGAATTGAAAAGAGAGACGAGAATAAGTTTGAACGGTTAAACGTAAGCTGTGAAACTAAATAAGTCTAAATATTTGATTTATCTTGATGCGAGTGAGATGCGACAATACAGTGTATATACTTTTTTTTTAGAGAGCACTCGATACTCTCTTAAGTCGTTTGTTAACATTCATTAATCTTCACTTTTAGCAGGAAGCGTCTATAAATTGCACTCGTGCATACTTCTTTCCTCGCCTATTTGTCTAGTACCTGTGTCGATTGTCGTTGGATATTTATGTCACGTCTACCAGTAAATAATTTTCTGTCGTCTCGCGAGGCTTCAGAGTAGTACTGATAGTAGACTGGTTCTTTTCCGTGACAGAGGAACTTGGCTTATACAAACGTATCTCGCGGAACAATCGTTTACTGCTGTGGGAAAACGTCGTCGCTGTCGCAGGGGCGCGGGCGGGCGGTAAGAGAGAAATGACGATGGGCGATTCGCGACGAGCGTTTAGCTCGGTATCGAGTTTACCGTTCCTGGTTGCAACACACACGACGCGACGACGGAGCGTTTTTGCGAGGCGGTGGGCGTAAAAATCGCTGTCGTAAACAGTCCGGCTTGGCTGCCGGTGGCGCATAGTTACGCGCGGCTTATCGCGGCGCCGCATTGCGCGGCGCAACGCCGCGTTCCTCGAACCCACGGCCTCGTACGTGCGCGCTGCCGCATGCATGTATGCACCTGGCCTACGGTACCCCGCGGCCGTGGTACGCCAGGTTCTTCAGGATCGTGAGAATCGCCGTTGTGCGCGCGCGTCCCCGCCGCGCATCGTGCAGCTCGCTCTTCGAAGGATCCAGCCGTCCCGTTCTCGCGACGAAATCGCTGAAACAGTCGCTCAGTTATATTTTTCTCTAATGTTTTAGGGGGAGTTTAAGAAATTTCTTTCAAGGACATTAGGTAGTTTCGAGTCGTCCAACTGAGAGAAAATTATCATATTTTTCACTTATCATTTATAGCAATTTTTAATGTCACCTGTATGTATATTTTTTTTTATACAAGTATGATTATTAACTTAAGACCTCCTTTGGATTTATTGATCATCGATCTAATTTTGTATCATATTAATAATGTTGCAGTAATAATTAGAGATCTTCGGATTTATTAATTTGCTGAAAAATGACACTGGTAATGAGAAGAAATATCTGGTTGGATTAATTGAATTTCTAATTAACTTTACTAAATTGAAATAATCGAAATTTTGCTGGATATAATTAGAAACTTCTGTTCATATTTTCAGTCATTTTTCTCAGTGCGGTGTCAATCTAACATTATTTCGTGATTCTTATTTAAGAAGTCTCTACTGCTATAATGTTAATAACAACAACAGTCTAGAGTAATAAAAATAGAGTTCCCCTAGTCATCATTATTTTACTGTGCAATTATATAGCCGCACAAATAATAAAAATCAAACACTTTTTTCTCTGTGTTTGAAAACATTAACTTGCTTGAAAGTTATTTTCGCACAGTATTACTTTGCTCGGAAATATGCAACTTGTCGTAAAACGCAGGCATTATTTCGCTTAGCTCGCTTCTGAAATTCCGGCATTCTCGCATTCGTGACGCGAAGATGAAATTCGTATCTTTTGGGCCTCGCCTCGTCGAGCAAGATTTGTCGTCGTCGTCAACGGCGCCATTGTCAATAGAAACTAGGCTGCAAACCGGCAATCAGAGCGGTACCTCCTTGCAAGCAAGAGCGAGTCTCGCCAACGAACGAGTGAAGCAACTTCAAACGCGCGTAATTGCTTCCTCGGGAATTAGAAACCACACCTTTTGCGCTCGTACGCGAATGTCGCCGGACGACGTAATAGGAAATCTACTGTAATCGCGATTAGTTAGGCGATGGACAAAAAAGGCTGTCGCGTCAGGCTTAATCACAGCTCGCTAATCATCCGCAGAGTGTATTGTTCACAATTAATTTTCGCGATTGTGAAATTTTCAGTATAGAGATTCTGGCGGCGTAGTTTTCTATACATCGCGTCGGTAGAGAGAGATTGGAAAAATATTATATTTTCTTTCTTTCGATCTCTTATCTTTCTTTTTGTAATATTTCTTATTAATCTTTTTAACACTTTCCTCGTTATATATTATATTTTTTTCTTTATTATATATTTTCTTTGTTATTATTGCGGCGTTGTATTTGTTCTTTTCATACGTTGTTCTTATCCCGCCTTAAAGAACGGCATAATAAACGCTTCATTTATCTATCTATCTTTCTCGGTAATTTTTTTTACGCCGTGTGCTGAAAGGGTTCACGGGTTCTACTTCGCAATGCACGCCATATCTCGGCCTGAAATTCCACGGTCGGTGATATCGGCCGTAATTGTGGCCGTGATCCGAATGTCGATGACTAAGACCGTCTCGGGTGTATTTTTGCGCCGCGAATGGTAATCGTCGCGCGGACGTTCGCAAAACGTTCGACAGCTATTTTCTTTGATGATGCACTCGACTGACACCTGCATTGGCTATCTCGCGATATCGCTTTCACATTATGATTAAACCATTTCTGTCGTGGCACGATCACCCGA